GACTCCGCAGGGAAGCGGGGAACACAGGAAGGAGGAGCGCAGGGCAGGGTTCATACGGCAGCGGCTACCCTCACCAGGCAGGGAGGCGAGCAGGGCAGGACCCAAAACACCCCCAAACCCACCCCCCGCTGCCAGCAGAGACCCCGACACAAGCAAGCAGCAGGTTTCAGCAGCACAGAAGAACTCAGCCCCCTTCAGACCTTTATTAAAGCCCCTAAAAGCCAGTGAGATCCAGCTCCCCCCGTGCCATACAGCAGCTTCAGCACAGGCTTCACCCGCAGGGAGGCGAGCAGGGCAGGACCCAAAACACCCCCAAACCCACCCCCCGCTGCCAGCAGAGACCCCGACACAAGCAAGCAGCAGGTTTCAGCAGCACAGAAGAACTCAGCCCCCTTCAGACCTTTATTAAAGCCCCTAAAAGCCAGTGAGATCCAGCTCCCCCCGTGCCATACAGCAGCTTCAGCACAGGCTTCACCCCCCCCACCACCGGCAGACACGCAGAGCCAGGGCTGGTGCCCGGCAAGGTCCTTCCCTCCCCATCGTGAGAAGTCTGTTGGAGCCAACGCTGACCGCGAACATCTTGCAGAGCCTCCAGGGAACATCTCTACTGTCATCTTCAAAGGCTCTCCACTGGACAGCCTCCAACTGTACAGTGCAGGGACCAGCCTGCCTTGTCCCCAGTGGTCCCAGTGCCACCACCTCACCACCCTTTTGCCATATCCATGCAGGGACGAGTGGCTGGGCCATGCGTGACTGGTGAGAGGGACACGTGAGTTGCAGCAAAGAGCCCAGCCCCTGCGGCGCTCCCAGGGCTAAGCCAGAGCAAGATGTTGAGTGCAGACATTAAACCTTTGATCTCTGGAGGGAGGCCGGGAGGAGGCAGCTCTTGGCCTGGGGGAGTTCCCTTGCCAGGGCGTCACACCACACCAGATCTGCCAGCCAGCACAGGAGGCTCTCTGTCCGCCATGGCCAGCCGGACTCACCTGCTCGCTGACTCCTCCGTCGTTCCCAGCATTTTGGCTCTGATTTTTTTTCTCTGTCTTTTGATCGTTGACTTCATCGCATCCAAGAAAAGGCTGGGAACTCTCTCTTCGTTCAGCAGCTCCCTGGCAAAAAGCAGCCAGCTGGTTAACCGAGAGCCTGGCAAAGAAATCCACCCTGACTGCACCAAGAGCAGCCTCTAAGGGGCCACGGGTGGCTGCAGGGACAGGAGGGACGTGGCTCGCTGCTGTGGCAGGACTCACCGCTGGTAATAGGCCAGCTCCTCCTGCACCAAGAACAGGTTGGTCTTGAGCTCGTTCCGCTCTTGCAGGATCTCCTGCAGCATTTCCTTGGAGAAGCAGCAGTGAGCAGGGCTCCTGCCCACATCCTGGTGCTGCGGCTCCGCTGTGGGCGATGGCGCTTCTTCCTGGGGGGACAGAGAGAGAGAGTCAGCAGGCAAGCAGAGACCCCGGTGTGCCCACCCAAAGGCTGGGTGCCACGTGCAGGCAGAGGTGGAAAAGTCTCAGGATTGAGTTTGCTAGTCCAGAGCTGCTGCAGCTCTTCACAGTCCACGGTGGCTCCCCAGCTCAGCCAGCACTCGCCACCCATTGCCATATGTGGCAAACTCTCCTCACCCTCCGAGTCCCACCTAGCTTTTCCTCCCATCACCTCGCCTCGCTCACTCCCGCCTCCACCCTTACGAAGTTTTATGGACAAGGTAGATACCACACTTAAATTTTCAGCAGTGGGGCTTACTCAAGCATCCACGTCCTGCTGTCAGCTGGTGGGTCCGGGTGTGCCAGAAGCCCTGCACCGGGCCAGGAAGGTGGGTGGGCGTTAGCGATGCCCTGCAGCAGCGGAGCTCTGACTCACCAGGCTGGGCTTTGGCCGCTGGGTCTCACAGGCGGTCCTGCTCCTCCTGCTCATTTCCCTCTGGGTTTGCAGCATCGCGGCCTCCAGGTCCGACTTCTTCTCCAGCGTGCTCTTGAGCTGAGCCTGCACCACGGCCACCTTGTGACGCAGGTCCTCGTTCATGGCCATGAAGCGATGCAGTTGCTCCTGCAGCTGGAGGACCCGGGGCGGCCGAGAGTGAGGCACAGCAGCAGCTCTGGGCCCCCACCCAGGGACACCAGAGCTACAGGAAAAGCACCTGCCCCAGCAGGCTCGCCAGCCACGATGACAGCCCCAGGGGGAGGTGACATGAAAGCAGGTCCCCAGGCCCTTCACACGCCACACCCGCGAGCTCCCACACGCTCACCGCCTCCGTGTCTCGGCTCTTGCAGACGATCTCATGGGCCTGGGCACGAAGCTCGTCCCTCTGCTTGTCCACCACCTCCTTCAGCCGCAGCATCACCTCCCGCTCCTTCCGTGCCGTGCTATCTGAGCCCAGACATGGGGGGGAGACGCGTGAGCGGCCCCCAGGATTCAAGGGCTCCCCCAACCCCACAACACTACGGGGTTTCTTGATGCTTCTGCACAGCGTCGTTCTACCATCATTCCTGGTATATGGCAGAGTATGAACAGTGGAAAGAGGGGAGCTGAGAGCTTTAGGCTATACCCAACGCATCCTTATGCCAACAATGGCAGCCTGCAGTCTGCCCCCACCACCCTCCTGTAGGCTTGGGGGTGCTCTGGGGGGTTGGGGTCCCTGTCACTGGCAGAACAAGACAGTGCTCATGCTCCCCGGTCTCCAGGGTTGGGTTGCACAGAGAGGAGGCTCAGAGCTGCACCCAGCTCGCCATCCCCCACGGGAACACCCCATGGTGGCAGGGGAACCCCGAAAACGCCCGGACACCCAC